CGTCTATTTTCTCTTATGCTGATAAAAAGAATATTCAAACATATGTTGCAAGTCTTTTTTTCATGAAAAGTTGGTAATTGAGTTAACCAAAATACTGGTGTTATTTTGGAGAAGAACACTACACTTTCTATACTTTCCCAATTTTATCCTTCCCATTTAAACTAAACTAAGTGGTATGATAGACTTGGTATTCCGATTTGCAGGAAAGCAAGCATACAGTTTATGCTTCTTTTATAGTAGACACAATTTAGGGAGATTACTAAATGCCTTCAGATGATTATAATCTGCATTGGCAAAATGCAAAGTCCCTTCTTGCAAAAATACCACTTTTACTAGTTTGTGGCTTCATGAGAATCTTTTAGGAATGTATTACATTTTTCAATTCTCAGATTTTCACTTTGCATTTAAGTTACTAAATTCCATGGGCTGGTTTACCATGTTGAAAATGAGAGGAATAAAATAATATTTGATTGTTAGTTTCACATGCTAGAACATCTTAGGCTGGAGATGCCATGAATCCCTGACAAATATCCTTCTGTTCAATATAAATTGCCCATTTGATCACATGCTAGAGAGGCATCCCACAAATATTTATAGAGAAGATCTGGATGCTCCTGTATACAGCTTGTTGAATTTCTGTTATTTATATAGATGTTGGCGCAGTTTATTTAAATTGGTGACCTTGGGCAAAAAAGCAGAAGAATCTCAGTAAGTGCGATCAGATTTTTTTAAAAAAAAGAAAAGAAAAAGAAGATGGTTAGAGATTTGATTCAAGACAGCAGATGTGCCTTCATCAGAATAGTATAGATTTTTGCACAATAAACTTCTGAGTCTGTGCTGCTAATATATACAGTGTGCAATTTGGTCTTTGGGTAGGATGAGGGTCATCTATTTTTTCCCCCTGATCTGTTGTTGCTTGTCACGGCATAAAGAAAACAATCATTATATTTTAGATATTTCTTTTTTATTTAGGTACAGTAGCCTTCCAGAGACAGCATTGTTAAGTTTGAAAAGGGATTGGCTCAACATACTGTCCAGCCCCGCTTTTTCCAAGCCATTCTTAAGCAAAGTGCCTTCCTTACGGGTGACTTCCATTTCCATTTCTGCAAACATTAAAACAAGTCTTAATAAATAATAAATACTAATGCTTGCAATCTAATTACATATGAATTGACAGTAATGTGAGAAGTTTCCAAACATCAGTATCCTATCTAGAGGGAGAAAAAAACATGGAGAAAATCCCATGAAATCAAACCCATTCTGCTTAATCTAAATGTTTCAAAAGTTACTATCCACCAGGCCTCTAGAGATGTTGGCTGGATTTGATAATCATTTTTCTTTTGGCTATTAACTCAGGTGAAATCATTCTTATCATCTCAGGATCAAACTAGAGCAAAATAAACAGAGTGAAATCGTGTTGTGCTGCATTGTTGAATTATTGGAGGGCCAAATCTTTTAATTAATTTTTATTTGGTCATTGGAACCAACAGGCCTTTTCAGTGCTGCTTCACCTCTTGCTATTTTCATTATGTTGCAAAATAATATCTGGAATAAATTTTCAAGCATGGTATATACAAGACCAAGGATCTTCAAACTTGGCAAGTTTAAGACTTGTGGACTTTAACTCCCAGAATTCCTGAGCTAACAAGACTGGAGGAGGAATTCTGGGAGTTGAAGTCCACAAGTCTTAAAGCTGTCAAGTTTGAAGAGCCCTGGTCAAGACAGTCAGAATCTGGGTACTAAAGGCAGTTGGATTGGCAGCAAAAAGCTTGGAAACCCGTGAAAAGTTTTAAGACTCAGCTTCTGCTTTTTTTTTTTTTTTTTTCTGTTGCATTTTTGCTGCATCTTTGTGCTGCCATTTTTTTCTTTAGAGCTGAACTTTTTATTCAGCTCCTCAGTGCAAACAAGCTGCAGAAAGATTTTCCTTCCTTCCTTCCTTCCTGTCCTCTATTCTTCAGCATGGCAGTCACTCATCAAGGTAAGTGATTTACAGATTTTGCCATCTTCTTTCTAGGCATGCAGTAAATTTAGCAAATTAAGTATTTAAAAGGGATCCAAATTGGAGAGTAGAAGTGGAGAATTTAGTTGAAGCCTCTAATGGGGTGGGAAGGGGGAGGGGGGGAAGAGCAATAAGTCTGCTCCTCTCAACTTCTTTGTTTTCTTTATTGAAGAAATGTGTGGGGTGGGGGTGGGGAAGGTGTTTAGCAAGGTAAAGGTCATGCCTGAAGCCAGTGATGGGCTGGTGCTGGTTCAGACCAGTTCTAGCAAACCGGTTGTTCCGACAATCAGCTGGCCCCGCCCACCTGCCCCTGCCCTATCCTGTCCTATATGTCCGTGTTTTTCAGCTCAGCTGATTCGCGCGCAGCACAGTGGATTTCCGCGCCTCAGCTGTTTTACTTGCTGCCCTAGAAGGTAAGCCATAGATGTTAAATTTTGTGTTTTTTAAAATGCACGCACCCGCAAAGCACACACTCACAGAACCGGTTGTTAAATTGGTTGCAGCCCACCACTGCCTGAAGCTGCCACTTTTGCACGCAGGTGGCTGATTTCTCCAAAGCCTAGCAAGAGCCAGGAGAGGTTTGCAGTGTCCTGATGGGAGCAGGGGCCACAAACGTGACTTTGTTGGCCAAACATGGAGATGTGTTAGGAAGCATCTCTTGCATTGGCTCTAGACCCCTAATCTAGCTGGGCTCTTCCCTCCTACTGGGCTACTTTTGGCTTTGCAGGCTTTTTGCTGCTTGTCTGCCTCCTTTATGGACTTGGCTTGGTGGCGGGCGTCCCCCCACCCATGAGGTACCCCACGCTCGCTTAACAACCCTTGTGTTCATTTGATGGTAGCATCAGGGAGAGCAGGGAGTAGGAGTCATTAAGCAAGGCTATCTGACTTAACAGTTATCACCACTTGCAACCATAAAGGGCAGGGTCTATCACTATTGTAGGTTGAGGACTACCTGTAGTAAGCAGAAGAGTCTACATTCTTTTTAAAAAAATAATAATTATATTAAAATTATACAACTAAAACTAATATAAACTGCAGAATATAAAAATACATAAAGGAAAAGGGAAAAAAAGTACAGGAAAAAAGGGAAACCTCCCAGTTCATCGCAGCATGTATAAATAACTTTAACAACTTGTCACCATCTCTTAAAAATACAGTTAACCATTTGTTCATCCCCTATCACACCCCATTCCTTATAAACAAAATTTTAATGCCTCATCACTGTCTTAATTAACAAAACTCCATTAAGGGTTATAAAAAGTTCATAAGGAGTTTCCAGTCACCAATAAATGTACATACTGTCTTTTCTCATATCAATACCTACGATAGAGGAATGGTAGGCGAAAATGACAGAACTTGTTGAACTGGCTAATAGTCACTTTTACCACCATTCCTCTATTGTAGGTATTTCCAGATCTTTCCAACTTCAGGCATACAATAATCTTGCTGCAATTATTATGTAGAAAAACACGACTCTTTTCTTACTGCTTATTCATCAGTCCAGGAGAAAAAGTTCTGGTTTCAATCAAATATTAATCTTTAAAGTCCTTTAAATAACTGTATGTATTTGAGCCCAACATTTTATAGCGTGAAGTACATTTATACATTGTAGATAACTTTTATGGTGTGCAGTATATAATATTTAAGCATCATTTCAGTACTATCTATTTTTAACATAGGTCTTCTATACTAGGACATTTTCTGCTGATTAATTTTTTTTTTTATAAGTACGAAAGAAGAGGTTTATTAAATACTATGAAATAAGGAAAGGAAAAAATGATTTTCTTAACCAAACAGTGTTGTACTTTGGAGCCAATTTCTTCTGTGGTAAACCAGAATAAAATGTATTGTGTTCTTAGAAAATACTGAATGATATCATCAGTGTAGAACCATGACTGCTAAAACATACTGAGGGTTATTCTCCCCCGAAACTCCAAGGGGAGTCTCCTACTTATTGGTCTGAAAAAAGTTCAGTATTATCATCCTAGAACTTCCAACATTTTTGGAAACGTTTTTGCTACATTGTTCAATTGCTTTTTGTTTACATAAAATATTTCTTCCAGGGTGAATATCTTGGTTTTGGATTTTCAAATCAAACTATAATCTAATATGGAAACTGATGAAACAACTACACAAGAGAAATGACCGTAACACTTTTTATATTGTTTCATTAGGCAGAATTGATGGGACAGAAATTTGTTCACCAATTTAGCAGGTTGCATATTACTTGACATTTCTTCTCTTTTATATGAAGGTCTCTCAGAGAGACAGAGAGAAAGAGAGAGAGAGAGAGACAGAGAGAGTATGTATATGCCCAAGTATGAACTCAAGGCAAATTCATGCCTCTGTGTGTGTGGTCTGTCTGTCTGTCTGTCTGAATAATAGCTTTCAAACGTAGGGTTCCTGGTTATATGATCCCTTTGTGTTACAGATGCTTCCACAGAATACATTGGTGAAATGTTGTTTATTATAAATCAGGAGACTATATGACCACAATGTCTTGAGGAAACTTACATATACTTCTCTATCAGTGTCATATAATTTCTTCATAGCAAAGTCATTTGGGGGAACGGAAGTCTAATATGCGTTGTAGTTCCACTGCACACACGAACAGTATTTGCATGGAAATATCTTATTAAACGTGTAGTTTCTCAAAATATCACCATTAACACGGAGACATTAGACTTTCTAATCAGTGGTTAACTATATAGGAAACGAGGGGATTAATCCCATCAATAAGTTCCAGATTGGAATGTATTGTTTGAAAATTACTAAAAATCAGAATAATTTTCTGAGAGTTTATTTTATCTTCCACCATCCCCAAGTACCAGTCATTTCCTTATAATTCGTAAATGCTCTTAATTACACAGAAACGTGTGGCATTTGTTTCTTAACATTGTATGGAGAAATGGTCAGGTGAAAAGCAAAAGCAATGTGCTATGGATTAAAGATGCCTCTGCCTTCAAGCCTTGCATTGAATATGTTCCCCCTTTTTTTCCAGCGGTGTGGAGAAATCTCATTTGATAGCCCAGAGCAGAATGCCAGATGTGTTCGCATGCTAGGTAAGTGGCTTCCACTCTCATATAAACTGGGTTTTGTTATAAGGTGAAACGAACACGATAAAATGAGCCGGTGTTACTTAAATAACTTCATTTTTAAGTTGGTTGGGAGCCACAATACTTCTGGATGCATAGTTGCTTGTACAATGGTGGTCTGCTACCAAACTGATAGTTTAAAAAAAAACCTCCCAGGATCAGCTGAGAGGAGGGAAAAAAATCCTAACAATCAGCTGTGAGGAGAAAGAAGAGAAAAGTGCAGGATCAGCCCTCCCAACCACTCTTGCACTTTTCTCTTCTTTCTCCTCACAGCTGATTGGCGCTGCAGGCCTCAGCTGGTGTGCGGAAAGCTGCATGCGCATGTTAGGTGTGCATGCACGATCACTGTTTGTAGTATAACTGATACTGGCACAAATAATGAATATACATAAGTATTATTGATTATGTCACACCTTCAGTTTACCTAGAAACTTGACATCGTGATTTCTGACTGTTGGTTATGCAACCTGAATGAATGGTATAAGATGAGCTTTACCAGTATGTCATAGGGCCAGGCTTATTTTGGGCTTGGCTCTCCCTGAGGATATATACCCACCCCACTAGACTAGATAGTATGGGCTCATTCCAAGTCCTTTTTTTCGTGGTGTCATCTGGTTGGACCTGGGCAGTGAATCTTTTCTGTAGCTGCACCTACCTCCGGGAATAGCCTCTCCGTGAATTGCAGGTGATCCCTATTCACCTTGTTTTCTGAAAGGCTGTTAACATTGGGCATTGGTTCAGGAGTAGAGGAGAACACAGCCATTGTGGTTCTGAGATGGGATTGTTGTGGCACTTGGTGCTTTAAAAGGGGTGGTTTTTTAAAAAATGTCTTTATCATTTACTCAATTAATATTGGCAACCCAGAATTATTTATATAAAATGGGCAGCCATATAAATCTTTTAAATAAATAAAATAATCAGAAAAAGGCTGACCAATATTTTTTTCATCACAAGTTAGATCACTGTCTAGCATGACATACCAAATTATAAATCACCAAAGAAGAAAAACGTACATGAAGGAAGGAAGGAGTAAAGGAATACTTTGATCTACATTGGCTCTACATTGGACAGACAAATGGATGTCCAATCTCTTTTTAAAAGCCTCAAGTGATGGAGCATTCACAACTTCTGAAAGCAAGCCTTTCCACTGGTTAATTGTTCTCACTGTCAGAAAATTTCTCTGAAATTTTAAATTGCTTCTCTCCTTGATTAGTTTCCATCCATTTCTTCTTGTCTTGCCTTCTGGTGCTTTGGAAAATAGCTTGACCCCCTCTTCTTTGTGGCATCCCCTCAAATATTGCAACACTGCTATCATGTCACCCCTATTCCTTCTTTTCATTAGATTAGACATATCCAATTCCCACAACTGTTCTTTATACGTTTTAGCCTCCAGTCTCTAATCATCTTTGTTTCTCTTCTCTGCATTCTTTCCAAAGTCTCAACATCTTTTTTATAATGTGGTGACCAGAACTAAATGTAGTAGTCCAAGTGTGATCTTACCAGGCATTATAAAACGGTATTAACATTTTATGTAATCTTGATTCTATCCCTCTGTTAATGTAGGCTAGGATTGCATTGGCTTTTTCGATGGCTGCAGCACACTGCTGACTCATATTTAAGTGATTGTTCATTAGAATTCTGAGATTCCCTCTCACAACTATTGCTATTGAGCCAGGTTTCACCTAATCTGTACCTGTACATTTGGTTTTTCTTGCCTAAATGTAAAATCTTATTTTTCTCTCCACTGACTTTCATTTTGTTAGATAGGGCCCAGTTTCAAATCTATAGAGATCCTTCTGGATCTTGAGCCTATCTTTTGGGGTGTTTGTGGTGCCAGTTTGGTGTCATCTGCAGATTTGATGAATTCCCCTTCTATTCCCGCATCTAAATTGTTTATGATGATATTGAAGAGTACTGGGCCTAAGACAGAACCCTGAGGTGCCCTACTGCTTACTTCCCTCCATGTGGAAGTAGTTCTATTAAGGACTATACATTGAGTATGGTTGGTCAGCCAATTACAATTCCATCTGGTGGTGATGCAGTCTATCTCAATTTTTCTAACTTACCAAGAAGTAGATTGTAAGCTATGTTGTCAGATGCCTTACTGAAATCCAAGTATACTAAGTCCTCAGCATTTTGTTGGTCCACTAATTTAATCGTTTTGTCAAAGAATTAAATAAGATTTGTTTGACATGGTTTGTTTTTGTTTTTGTTTGATTCCATCCAAGATGGCGGCGTGCATAGATGCTGTGGCTTTGAGCTCCTTGTGTTATAATGGAGTGAGTGGGCAAAAACTAGTCTTTTCCCCCAGGGAGTTACTAAAGATTGGATTTTCTAGTTGACTAGATATTACCAGCGACTTCCAGCGGTCTCATAATATACTGAGTGATGTAGTAAGATTGCCAGGCTCTCCATGGATCATTGTCGGGCCTGGGAGGCAGTGTCGACAGCAAAGAGAGAGGAAGCAGAAGCAGGGGTGCAGAGCTGGTTTGCTAGCTCGGTTATGGAAGCAGCCTCACTGGCCAGCATTACCAAGTATTTTTCTAACCAAAACTAGATCCTTTGTCAACAAAACTGATGAACTAGAGCTATGGATGGCGGCGAATAAGCTCATTTGCAACTGCTGTGTGATGATTATCACGGAGACCTGGCTTCATCCACTTGTATCGGACGCGTCAGTGGAGCTACAGTAACTAACCGCACCACACACCACTTCAACAGAAACGGCAACTCTGGTAAAAGCAAAGATGGAGGACTTTCTATCTAAACACATAATGACTCGTGTACTAACAGTAGAGTTACTTATATACACTCTTCTCCAGATGTGGAATTCTTAACTGTCATTTGTTGGCCATTTTATTTATCTAGAGAGATTTCTGTTATAGTTATCACCACTGTCTATATTCCACCTGATGCAAATGTTAGCACAGCGCTCTCTAAGTTACATGACGCCATCGAGAGGCAGAAGCAAACTTACCCTGAGGGCACTTTTGTCATAATGTGAGGTGTATTTCGTGTTTGGGGGGGCGGCTGCACCAAGGGAGACTCATTCAATTTCATTGTACACATGTTGTGCATTGACAATAAAGGTTTGATTTGATTTGATTTGATTTTTGACAATCCATTTTGGCTTCTGGTTATAACATTGTTTGCTTTTAGGTGTTTGCAGATCTGCTGTTATCTTTTCAGGATCTTCCCAGGTATTGAGGGTGGTTGGTCTATAGTTTCCTGGATCTGTTTTTTTTTTTTTAAAAAAAACATTTTGAACGGCCTTTAGTGGTTTGCTGAAGGCAAAAGAGAACATAAAAATATATAAGATATACAGTAAATAGGAGAAACATTAAATTAGAATAATATATTAAGATTGTCATTTTAATGTAATTTTAATAATAGTAACAGTTGATTCCCAGGTTTAAAATAAATAAAGTACATGAACAAAAAAGAAAAACATTCTTTGTATGTATACACACACACACACACACACACACACATGTATATGTGTGTGTGTGTGTTTTCTTAAGTTTTCGCGGGTACTTACATGCATGGTATTCAGCTTTGTTCGGGTATTTTCCCACGTCATTATAGTTGTGCTTTTAAAGTTGTAGCTACATTTCGGCAGAATCTCATCTGCCATCATCAGGCTTCAGACGAACACAATACAGAAACCTGATGATGGCAGATGAGATTCTGCCGAAACGTTGCTACAACTTTAAAAGCACAACTATAATGACGTGGGAAAATACCCGAATGAAGTTGAATACCATACATACATACATACATATACATATACATATACATATACATATACATATACATATACATATACATATACATATACATATATACACTTTCATACAGTTTTGCACGTGCATATGAAAAGAAGCCAGCAATTGGAGACAGAGAATGGGGTTTTATGAGCTGTGAAGTAGTGAAACAAAGTTTGATTTCATGTAGTTTAATCTATTCTACTTGAATCACATCAAGTGCCCTTTAATTGTTTCAGAAAGGTTTGGAGGCAATTTGAAAATTTGATGGATTTTGGGATGAACTGTGACTTTAGATCCTGAAACACTGGTGTGGCTTTCTTTGTGTGTACATGTGTGCTTACAATGATGAGAGTGAGGTTGAGGGCAATCATAATCATCAACCAGAGAGTTGCACTGTCAGTGAATGAGTGAACGGTTGAAGGTCAGCAAAGGATTTAATGAAATGAATTTGAGAAGGAAACACTGGACCTCATAGGAGGGACAGCAGTATAGGCAGAACTATACTGGATTATTTATTATCCCTCTTAATCCATCTCCAAAGAAAGAAGCAATGCAATCAGAAAATCCTTCGGGAGAATTTTGCTGTGGAATAAATGAACGACAGCTTGCTGAAAAGTGCTGCTCCCCAAGTTTGTATAGGGCACCAATTGTAATCATTTCTGTCCTAACTGCACCTATGTTAGCAACTTCAATATAATAGGACAATAATATCCATGAGGAATAGGATAATTGTCTCAGTTGGCGCAAATTACAGCAACAATATTGATGCTGGAACCTACGTTTTTGATCATGTGCCTCTAATACAAAATAAAATCTCTTTTAAGCTTTTTTTTTTTTTTAAGACTTCAGAACAGGGCTTTCCTTTCTCTTGTTTTTTTTCTCTTTCTTTTATGAACTATGGATGTTTTAATTCAACTCTATGTAATGATACAATGGATCTTGATGCATCATACTTTCATTTTTTTTAAGGGGGGGGGTTTCTTTTAAATAATAATTTTTGTACATCTTATACAATAATTTTTGTACATCTTGATAGAGTTACCCCATGGAAGCGGCATGAATTGTGATTCCAAACAAGTTCTGGGCTGTCTGAAATTTTGGTAGAATAGGTAGCCATAGCAACAGGTTTGCCCAAATACAGAAACAGTTGCTTGTGTTTCTCGTAGCTCCCTCTGTCTCAAACAATTGTAACTCCTTCCA